GGCCCAAGGCAAAAATCCTGGGGACAGGCAGTGGCATGAGAGGCCCCACCACCAAAGTGACACTGACTTTTGTGTTTGTTGTTCCACCAGCTTTGGAGGGGGTCTGGGGCTGGTCAGGAAGAACTGTCCCACCTTCTAGTCCCATGAGCTCAAGTGCTGGGGCTTTGTCAGTGATGTGGCAGAACAAAAGTGGCTTTACCTGTGGTTTTCCTGCCTGCAGAGGATTCTGAGCTCCTGGAGGCCACAGGCTGGTCTCGCACACTGGCCCGGCCTTCCCATGGCTCTTTTGTTAAGTTGAGAAACGAGTGTGCACTTCAGTTCCCCTGTCCAAGGCTAAGGAGGGCTCTTGTTCTATGACTGTCCTGCTGCTGGTCCTGGGGGCTGTGAATATGTGCTGTGTGCTCTGGGATGGCCCAGGCACAGGAGGAACCCATGGTGTGTGTAGTGGGGCTTCTCTTGGTACTCTGTGGTGAAGCCATGCAATGACTTGTGCAGCTCTGTCTTGCCTGGCCTCAGCCCAGCCAGCCTGTGTCCATGTGCAGTCTGGGATAAAGAGGCAGGTGTGAGGGCAGGGGCAGCATTTCCCTGGCCTTGGTTCCCTCCTGTAAAAGAGACGTGGTGGTAACATCTGTGTTCTGTGTCATTGGGAAGCTCGTTCTTTAGGGACACAGCTGAGGAGGTAAAAGGACGTGGAAGACCTGTGTTTGGGGAGTGAAGGAAAGAGTAGTGAAGAGGTAGCCTCATTCCTTCCCACCCCCTGTAGAAGGCTACCCCTGTGGCGTGTCTATGGTGTGTGTGTTCAGTGTGTCTGTGTCACACCTGTAGAGCAGGCTTGGCATGTCTCTCGTGTAGTCTGCATTCATGGTGTGGGCTCTGCCCATCTGTGGTACAGGCTGTATGTATCAGTAGTGTAAGCTTGGTGTGTCCATGGTGTGGGCTCTGCATGTTTGTTGTGTGTGCGGTACAGGCCATGCATGTCTGTGGCATGGGCTGTGTATCTGAGGTGTGTGTGGCGTGGCCTCTGTGTGTCCATGGCACAGACTTAGTGCATCAGGTGTGAGGGACAGGTCCTGCTCAAAAATGCCTTTGGATGTAGCTGTCATTCGTGATACTTATAGTTTGTTTTGGAATTTGAATGAAAGAGAGTCAAAGATACTTGTGCTCATTTGGTGTCAATGTGACAACTCTATGCCAATATTGGACATGCTCTTTTCTAGACAGAGATCACCAAGACTAACCCAAAAGGAGACAGAAAGCTTGATCAGTAGTGGCCCTTCCCACAGGTCTTGGCAGGGCACTGAGGTGGGGGAGTTAGTGAAATTAAATTCATCATTAAAACACCTCTAGAAGGAATGACCAGGCCTGCTGGCCTCACTAGTATGGTGAGCCCAGTGACTCAGACACAGCAAGGGCGGCCTTCACAGACTGCAGAGTTGCTCTGCTGCAGACAGGTAGGTTTCTTCATAAGTGTGCTCAACTCACAGACTCACATGGAGAGCAGTAGATAGTGAGGGCTTCCTGATATGGACTCATGTGGAAACCAGGACCAAAGAAAGGGTTTGGGAGCCCTGCAAATGGGGAGTCTGAAATGTGGTCCAGGAATTGGAAAGCTACTGTGGATCAGCTTAGCATGTCAGGTTGTGCCAGGAAGCCTCTGACTCCATCCAGTGCTCCTCCACCCAGGATCCTTATTCCTATGCTTTCCTTGTCTATCTCCTCTGTACTCAATGTCTTCTTCCTGCCTCCTTCCTGGCTGTATTTTGGACACTGTTTCACCAAGTATACTCAGCCATCCATCTCATCTTCTTTACCATGTGCAATGACACAGGCTCCTCTGGTCCCCACTTCCACACCATATGGGGCACTGGTGGCTTGTGACTTGCCTGCCATGGGCCTGATCCCACCTCATCTCATGAGCTGTCACCTCATCCCATGAGCTGTCACCATGTAGCTGGGTCCAGGGGCACCCTAGCCCTCCCACTAAGTACCCTGGGCTGGGTCTGCTCAGCACAGGTAGCTGAAGACCACAGAAGTGACACTTCCCACATGGCGTACTAGCACACCAAACACGTGATGCTGGCTGTTCCTACAAGCAAGGCTAGGTGTAACTGTCTGGTTGCATGGAGACACAATGCAGGCCCCTTCTTCACAGTTAGGAGCCTGTAAGGAAAATGCACTCTCTGCCCCCAAAGCTTGTTTTTGTGGCACTAGATATAGAACCCAGTGACTCTATCACTGAGTCACATCCCTGACCCTTTTAATTATTTCTGTTTTGAGACAAGGTCTTGCTAAGTTGGCCTGATGAAACTCAAACTTGTAATCCTACTACCTCAGCCTCTTGCAGTGCTGGATTACAGGGGTGTGCAGCAGCAACAGGAAACACCAGAGTAGCAAGGTACCTTGTCCACGTTCCAAGTTTCTGCTGCAGCATCCAAATAATATCTGCCTGAGAAAGGTGGTAGGTATGTTGGTCACCTGGGTGTCCCACAGCCCTCGCTGCCCACCCATCAGACACTACACAGATTGGCCAAGCCCTTACCCTGGGGTAGGTGGGGCCTTTGCTCCTGCTGGGCAGGAGTCTGAGGGTTGGGACAGCATTTCAGCCTCTTTGCAGGCTCTAAACCACAGTGTTGGTCCTCACCAAGGGCCTGGCCACTATGAGGCCCAGAATCTGAAAGGGAACCCTTTCCCCTGGACAGGCAGACATGAGGGCAACCAGAGAGCTAACCCCCTATCCCTTCCTTTCTGTAGGCTTTTGGTCCCACTACCACCTAGAGAAAGAATGCCCAATGGTGGAGTTCCCCCTGCAGGAAAAGGACTGGTGGAGCTGCTGGCTGCCCCTCTTCAGGAACTGCTGTGTGTCGTAGGCTCTGCCCCTCCGCACAACCCTTACATAGCCCTTCTGGACAAGGCAGGTCCTCGTTCCCTTGCCCCAGCCTGCTGAAGGGTGTTGGGTAGAAGCCCAGCTTGATTCTTAAAAGCTTGTTGCTGAAAATACTTTTGTGAGAATTACTTTAAAATTAGACTGGGCATTGTGGTATATGCCAGTAATACAAGCTATTCAAGAATCAGAGGCAGAAGGACCACAGGTTCAAGCCTAACCTGGGCAACCTAGTCCCAAAAAATTAAAAATGGCTATGGAGTGTAAAGGCCTTAGGTTTAATCGCCAGTGGCCGGGGCCCTCGGGGTATATATCTCAGTGGTACAATGATGCTGGGTTCTATCTTCAGAAATAATTAATCAATGGGAAGGAAAAGAGAAGATTGAGACCTTTCTTCATGTGAATCCATTTACTTGTGTCCCAGGGGATTCTTGTGATGGTGGGTTTCTGAGTGGGTGCTATACTGGTCTCCTGCTTGGTGTTCAGGAGAGTAACCTACAGTATGCTGTTCTCTTTGCTCTGAGCAGCTGGTCTGGGGTGGGAAACACTGGATTAGGTCAGCTGATTTTCTGGTAAACTGGTTTGGAAGCACCTCTGCTGGCCTGACTGGTTTCAAGGGCCAGTGCCTCCCCAAGGGCCAGGCCTCCCCCTCCTCTGCCCGGCAAAGTGAAAGTTCACTGTCGGCCACTGGATGGAGCTCTGCAGACAAGCCTGCCATGTTGCTCCAAATCACACACTGTTCTGCCGGGCACCTAACCACGGTGGCAACAGAGGTTTACTCTTCCCAGAATCTTGTCTGTTGGTGCTGTTTGTCTGTGTCAATGGCCCTGAGGGTGAAGATCTCCCTGCCCCTCCTCATGAAGCACCCAGGTGCCATACACACATAGCCAAGTGTATGGATCTCTGGTGTCCAGGTCCACAAGTTCTGACAAGTGCCTGTACAATGTCACCACTGCCCCATCAAGAGGCCATTGGGCTTCATCCCAGAATGCCCTGACCCCCTGAGGCAGCATCTCCTGCCATAGCAGAGAGGCCAGCTGGGGGGACCTGCAGCAACCACGGATGTCCATAAAGCCTGAGGCTAGAAACAGCCCAACACCCAGCCCAGCAGAGGGGATGGATGAACTGTGACCTAGCAAAGGAACCACAGAGCTTGGATAGCAGGGGAAGATGGTTTCAGGCACAGGGGAAGTGCGCCCCACATCCTGGGACGTGAACAGGGAAGCGAGACCAGGTGGGGTCTAGCATAAATGAGGTTTCCTTCCAGACAGGGTCCTGCCCTCCCCACTGCCCCAGTTCCTGCTTGGCTGTCACTGTCTTTCTGTACCCCATGGCCCAAGGGTTCCCTTGCTGGCCCAGTTCTCTGGCACCACCAGGACTGAGTTCCTGGGGTTTTTTTGAGATGGGATCTCACATTTTTCCCAGGGGTCACTAACTTTTAAGCTCAAGTGATCCTCCTACCTCAGCTTCTCTAGAGCTGGGACTACAGATATGCATGACCACACCTTGTCTTTTATGTTTCTTTTTTGACAAAGTGGAGTTTAACAGCAGTTGAAACAGTGCAGTGACATCAGACCCAGGATCTGGAGACCCTCGGAGGGTAATGCATGAACAGGCAAGGAGGCCGCTCTGGAGTCAGAGTCCCTGGGTGGCAGTTAGTCCAGGTATTCACACACCTGGGAGACCCCAATCCCAAGAGTGTGTCACACAGTACCAGGTCAATACCAAGTACCTGATAAAAGTGGCTGCCACTGCCTCAAGTTTCCATGACCTCCTGTATGGGCCGCAGGGCCAGAAGATGAACCATGCTGGCCCAGCATGGCCATAGCAGACACACCGAGCACTGGCACTGGGTGTTGCTGGGGCACAGGAGCGCCACTGCACTGAGTTGGTAGTCGGAGGCTTCTGGCAAATTGTGCAGGGGGCTGCTCATTCTGGCAAGGTGCAGGAACCCAGAGAGTTCGGCAATGCTGAGCACCCCTGGGGTCAGGCAGGCACAAGCCAGGCGAGACCATGGGGACAGAGGTGGAGCAGCTGGGGCCATCCTGCCATGTGCCAACTTATGTGTGGGCAGGCAGGGCTGTCTCTATTACATTTAAGCAACCACAGGAGCACATGTGGAACTACATGGCTATTGGTTTATTAGTCTGATATAATTTCTGTTAAGACAAACTATAGAGAAATAAGTAGAAACCTTGACATTCATGCTATGAAGGTATAACCAAGTACTTCCTGTGCTGGTTTTCCGATATATATCACACACCCATAGAAAGACACATTTTAAGAATCCAGAAATTATATAACTAGTGTTAAATAATTTAATAGTCTTAAAGCGTGGGGCCTCCTCTAGCAGTTTCTTCTTTTTCAGATTCACAGACCCTCAGGCCCGCAGGCACAGCCACTGGGGTAGAGACCACAGGCCAGAAGTCAGAAGGCTCCCAATTTCAAATCAGTTTTAAATTCAAGAATTTAATATATAGTATAACTTCTTAATTTATTCCTCTTTTATGCTTTGCGAGTTGCCTTTTTATAAAAGAGCAGTGTTTGTTGATTTCATGGTGTATCTGCCATGTTTCCTACAACCAATCATAAAACCTTTGTGAAGGAAATTCAAGATAAAATTCACTTTTTAGAATCTTAAATAATGAAACATGGAAGACTTTTCTGGTAGATTAACAAAAATAAGATCATTAGTTTTAAATAATAGTCGAGAACTAGTTGGTACAATACTCGTGGCCCTCAAACACAAGTTAATAAAAGCTTGCCTAGCATGTTCAGTTCATGTGAAGAGACAAGGACTGAACTCATGGTCCCCTTCAGCTTTCGTCAGAGAGTTCCTCACTCTCTGAGGAGCTTGAGTTCTTTCAGCGTCCTTTTTTGGAAACATAGCAGAAGAACTGGGGATCAAACATTTTGGAGGTTAAGAGACAGGTGAGGCACACAGGATCCTCCAGGCCAAGTTTAGCACAGCACAAAGGAGCAGGTGTCAGAACAGGGACCATGTAGTGAGCATGTGGGGGCTGCTACAAAGGCTAGTACAGGCAGAGAAGGATGTGCCCTCCTTAGCCTTACTAGAAGAACCCACCCAGACTACTGGCATCTACTGGGCCTGTCCCTGTGGGCAGGTGGGGGTGAATCGCATGGCTACCCCAGGACTTAGCCAGTTTGCACCCAAAGCCACTGAGCAATTGAAAGAGACATGTGGGCCCCTCTTCCCGCACTAGGGAAGACTGGTTGGGTGGAAGGATTCCAGAAAGGCAGAGAACTTGTACCTTTCCTGGCCTGTGTAGGGTGGGGTCTGCCCCTTCCCAGGAGCCCTTTACTTGGAGCAAAAGGAACAGATAGTATAATCCAGGGGGAAAGTCACTATGTAGTTCAGGCTGACTTTAACTCACTATGTAGCCCAGACTGGCCTGGAACTCATAGTGATCCTCCTGCCTCGGCCTCCTCAGTGCTGGATTATACAAGCATATGCCACCACACCTGACTGTGGTCTTTTACTTTAAGCAAAGATATCACCACCACAAATAGCCCTCCCCATCTACAGCCTGTTTCTCCTACTGACTGGAAAAGTTGGCCTGCCTTGGCTTGGCCTTGGCCCCTGGGCCTGCTCACCCATAAGAGAATTACAGACAAGCAGGCACCAGCCAGCTGCCTCCTGTAAGGTGGGGCAGGGCTGGAATCTGCACAGTTGGGGTTATCACTTCCTCAGCAAGCAGAACTGAGGTTCTAAGTAGAGCCATCCAGTTCAGAAGCCTGGAGACTACTTCTGTGAGCAGTAGACCCTCTTCAGACTCTGTGCTCAAGAAGAGACAGGCCGGCCTACAGCCTTAAAGTTTGAATAAGACCCTGGCACACCTAAAGACAAAAATTTCACAGTGAGAAACAACTCAAGAGAACAGCTTTCCACTTCAGCCCCATAGTTTATGGATAAGGAACTGGGCTCCACAGAAATTGCCGAGTGTATCACAGCTGCTAGGGGCAGACGATGGACCCACAGCCAGCACATCCAGTGTATCTTCATAATTCTTCACAAAACAAAGTAACTCAAGTACATCACAAATGAGGAGAAATGGTTTATGTACAGTAAATACAACTAAAGCAAGCAACTCGTGGCTGGTTGAATTTCCCAAGAGACGGAGCAGAGCTCCAGGCACCATTGATAAGCAGGCCAGAATGCAGGCTCACACTGCACAGCCCCGGGCAGATGTGCTCCAAAGGCAGCTGCAGGCCTGCCTGTCATGTGTTACCCCAGGCCTGGACAGCGCCCCATCAGGGCCTTACTGTAGAATCGGGGTGCTTCACAGCATTTCTGGAGGTCACTTGGGGAAAGTCTTCCTGCTTACAGATCTGCCTAGGTTTCAAAATTGGGGACTTGGGGCTGTGGGCCTATAATTAAATCCTAAAGAACTGGAGCAGAGGGCATAGAAGGTGTGGTGAGATGAGGGTAGGTAAAAGTAGCAGGGTTGGGCCGGGATTTAGCTTAGTGGTGCCACCACCTGCAAGAGCAAGGTCCTGAGTTTGATCCCCAGTATAAAAACCAAAACAACAAAAAGCAGGGCTGAGGAGGCCGTGGTTGTCTCACCTTTGCTGACCCACTGCTGACACCCAGGTGCAGCTCCACACAGAACAGGCCCCACAGGCTGCCATGGATGCCACACCCAGGCACCTTGGGGAACCAGCTTCCCGCCATCCTGTCCTCCCTTTCATCTCTCACTAACACAGGTGCCCTACATAGTATGTTAGGATTCCTTCCTTCTTGAGCTCATTTGTATTCTTTAGTTTTATGTGCACTCTGGGGAACGTGTTTAGAGGGACAGGTCTGTACGGAAGGAAACTAGCTGGTGCTATCTTTTGGGCAGGGCATCAAGGTTGCATGGTGGGTGAGGACCCACAATGCTCCAGTTATACCCTTAAAGCCAGCACATAGGGGCCATCATGGCTCCATGCGGCTGCACACACTATGTGCCATCCTCAGCCCAGGCTGCCAGCTCGCAGTGATGTTACCTTCTTTATACTGTTTCCTTCATCTTAACATTTGTCATTTTTCTATCAAATATCTCTAGAAGACCAGGTGGAGGGGGTGGTCAAGTACTGTGGCAATACAAAGAATAAATACTGGCTTTAGATTTTATCACTGCATTCTGAAAGCCTGGTGTTGAGGCTGAAGGTCATTTCACTAAAGACATTGCCTGAAAGATGTCTTTAGCAGAGATGCCCCATCTCCAGGAGCAGGTGGGGAGCTGAGGCAGCCTGTCCCTCACACAACACTCCTATGTTTTCCCAGCATGGCCTGCCTAAGATGAGCCTTTTGGGGGAAAACAGAAAACCTCAAGAAAAATATCCCTTGTGCTGATCTTGCAGCAGTGCATCTCTGTCTAGGAAGAAAGCGCCAAGTATCCAGGTAACAAAGTGCTACACATCCAGTTGAACTTGGATTTCCTCATGGACAACTCATCTCCCAGGACATGCAGCCAAGGTGGAGCAGGTGAAGCCCCCAGCATGGTCACTGCCACCCAGCATTCTCCCTAGGCCTGTGCCATCACTGGCTGGACCCCTGAGGGGTCCAGGGAGCAACGCCGGAGCCCACAGTGCATTTTCTTTATCAGTCGCCGGAGTTTGCTAGGGAAGTTTCTGTTGATGTGGCGGTAGAGCAGTGGTGTCACAGAGCTACTGGAGAAGGCCAGGAACTTGGATAGATCTTTAGCAAAGTGCAGGATCCCCAGGTAGTGCCCATCCACTGGCTTCCCCTGAGAGACCAGCACCGTGTGCCCCAGGAGGCTCAGGTAGTGAGGTGTCCAGAGCCCAAACTGTGTGCACACAGTGGCCACCAGCAGCTTGTGCACCCAGGGGTCTAGCCTCCCTGTGTCCTGGTCCAGGGGCGTGTCCTCTTTTCGGATCCGAGAGATGAGTGCCAGAGCGTACAGCACAGCCAGGCCTGGCACCACATACCCAATGAGCACCAGGATGGCATCAGCAGCCTCTGTGTTCTGCATCTTGGCACACTCGGCAACCCGAGAGGACACATGGCTGCAAATGTAAAAGAGTAAGGAGGAAAAGCTGGTGAGCAGTGCCCCACCCCAGACAAAGCCACATACATGTCGCGTGTTATACACACTGGCCATGTAGGTACGTGGCAGGGCGCGCTCGATGTAGAAGTCCAGGCTGAGCAGGGCAGTCGAGTACATGGTCACTAGGGAGGCCACATTGAACAGGATCAGCAGTGTCACATGTGCCTCACTGCTGAGGCTCCACAATGCCCACCTGGTGTGGGGTGGCCCAAGGAGGTGCACAGGGGCCAGGGCACTGAGCACCAGGCCTGCCACGGCCATGTTCACAAAGTACACATCCGGCATAGTCATACTGCTCTTGCTGCTCAGGTTCACCAGCACCAGCAATGCATTGTAGCCCAAGCCAACAGGGACACCAGCCACCAGGTAGAGCAGTGAGAGGACCCAGAGCCCTAGGCGCAGGTCCTGGCACAGCTGCTCCTCGCCTTGTGCTGTGCCATTGAATAGGCCACAGCTCCACATGGCAGCCTCACCCAGGCTCCGCAGCTCTGCTGGAAAGAAAGGACAAAGTCAGCCACTCCCCGTCACTTTGCTCGGCACCACCAACCCCTACAAAACTATACAACGTCCCAAATAAGGCTGCCATGATACCCATAGCCATGGTCAGGGATACTGTCTCTGCAGGAAATCAAGTCCTGGACAACTCACAAATGACACCGCCACAGAATCTGTCCAAGGAGCATGCTATGCATGTTCCTGCATTCTAAATGCACCAACAGAGAGTTGCTGCCATCTTTTGGCATTGGAGAGCTCTACAGGGACAGAACTCACCAGACCCCAGGTACCTGGCAGTGCTATGGGATCCCTCCTGTCGTGTGATGGGCCATTTCCACTGATGTGTGCTGAGCACTTACTGTGAGCTGGGATGAGGAGGACAGCACACACAGTGTTATCTGGTGAGACAACCACACACCTGTCTGGGCACCTACTAAACGGGAGCAAGAGAGAAGCACTTGGCACATGGGAGCATCACATGTCCAAACGCTGCACCAGCTCTGGTCCACAAATGGGCCTGGAAAAGCAGCTGACACTGGGCTGTGCTGTGCGGTACCCCGGCCCTCCAAGATGAGCTAATGCACTGGAGAAGGTGCGTGCTAAATCCCCAGAAGGAGCCCAGGGCACTCTGTGGTCTTAGAACTCCTTCTCCATCTTGCAGCACAAGGCAGGTAAGCTGCTCTCCTCAGCCTGGACAGCCCAACACCATGGTTCCTAAAGCCTGCTGGGTGACTGGTGCTCATTTCTGCCTGCACTGGGAGAGGTTGGCAGCATGATGGTCAGCCCTAGGGTAACACAGCCTGGGTTGCCTGAGGACACAGCACATCTTAACATAACCAAAACTGATAGGTGGAGCCATACTTTAAAGAATTTCTTCTCTGCAAAGGACAGACATTTTTCAGGAAACCCTTACATTTAAAATGTAGTTTGACCCAACCAGACCTTCTGCTTTCAGAATGGAAGACAGTGTCTGAGGCAGACAGAAAGCCAGCAGCCCTGTTTCCCAGAGCTCAGGGACAAAGCAAGGAAGCTGGGCTGCAAGCGTTGGCTCTGGTCCCGCCCGCTGTGGGCCCCACGGGAGGCAGCTCTGCAGTCTGTCTGCAGTCCCCACCTCCACACGGGATCTCAGCAGTGGGGGAGGAGGTCTCCTGCCACCTCCCATCTGCCAGCAGGGTGGCTAGGCATAGAAACAGGAAAGTTTATGATGGAGAAAATAGAGTCTGTGCTTGGTGCCACCCCTGGCTCCAGGAATACAGTGTTGGCTGGATTCTGGGCTGCAATTCTAGGTGCATATGGAAGGGATAACAAGCACGAAGCATAGTGCAGCACCACTGTGTTCACCATAGCTGAGACAGGATGTCAGACAGGAGCAAAGTGCCAAGAGCTGGCCCCACTGGGCACAGGGCAACCTCGCTCTCCCCATTCTCCTTGGGCACACAACTCATGATCAGCAGGCAACCACACCCCACCTTGGACCCTGCTTACCCTTCTATTCAACCATCATGACCAGCCCGAGGCAGAGCCAGTGAGCCCCATGGTGGGGGGGATTGGCAGGGCTGCCAAAGGTGTAGGTGACTCATCCATTCCTAGAACCAGAGTATTTCTTGAAGTGCTGTCTATGTTTTCTGGGCCAGCCCAATGGCTGGTCCTTTTTCTCTTTCTAGTCATAATGCCTGCAGCCAGCATCTGTGATTAAGTACTATTTCTCAGGTGCTTTAGTTCCCAGGCTTCTGTCTCCCCAAGCTTGTAGGTTTGGTGATCACTGAATTGAGCAGGAGCCCATGTTGTGGGGACCCCATCTGTCCACCGTCCACCCTGTGCATTCTGTGGCCACTGTGAGTGGGTGTTAGTGAGCCTGGTCTGTGCCCAAGAGTGTCTTGTTCTCACAGGCCATCAACCCACAGCCAAAGCCCTGCTGCCTGGCCCCTCCTGTGGCATCCAGGGCCTAGGTTTTGTTTGAGGTATTCCCACAACAGTCCTGTTTCAGACCTCCTTCCCTGTCTGGGATAGCAGCTATGACAGCCACAGAAAGAAGGGCCACACATCAGTGATGAGGACCATGTCCTCCAGCGACCTTACAAGTGGAGCACGTCTATCTAACAGTCGTGGTCAAGGGCCTAGCTCATTCTGTCCCCCTTGCCCCACATCCCTGTCACCTGTCCTGAGAGGGCCCCTGCTGGTGACAGGTCATCAGAGCTCCCTCCTACCTAAAGTGGCTGCTTTCTTGGCTACCCTTGTCCCCAGCAGCGCCAGCCCCAAGCTCTTACCTTACCTCACATCTCACATTACATGAGGCCATGGTCTGCAGATGCTGTCTATGGGCAGCATGGCAGAGCCAAGGCACCACTGCACAGCAGAGGGACTGTCGTGTGTCTCTGGAAGTCCTGCCAGCCCCATCCACTGCATCTATAAAACATGGGCACGGGTGGGTGTGGGTGTGTGTGTGAGGCTGCTGCACACTCATGCCAGGAGACATCACACTTGTTTTCCTCCAGCAAATTACTCAAGCGGCTCCTGTCTCCCTTGGCAACACAGTGGCCCCTCCCTATCACTGTTTATAGCCAGTTTCCAGAAACGAGAGGTCGTGCTTGGACGGGCTGGCAGTCCCACATCAAGCATGTTCACATCCTCTCACGCTTGGCTTGGTAAATGTCCAGGTTCCCGGGGGCTGGCAGGTTTACATTGAGGCAGCAGTGGCATTTCCTCTCAGTCCCTCCTGTGCACATCTGGCCCACAGAGTGTCCTGGAGGGAGTGGGAACAGGTCTGGCACAGACTCAGGGTCCTGCTACTCAGAACTGCTGAGGAGATCGGTTACAAGTTCCCACTCCCCTGAGGAAACAGACTGAACAGATTTTTTTTATCTGTGGAAACTAAGCTGTGACTGCTGCTGGGGTTCAGTGAGTCTGGTCAGAAGTGGGATTAGAGAGGTCCTGGCTGCCTTCACATCAGGCCCAGGGACATAGCAGTCCTTTGAAGGCACAGCCATGGCACAGGGCAGGCTCAGAGTTAAAACTCAGGACCAGAGAGAGGGGTGTTCTGTAGCCTTCACATGCACTGCCAGGTATCCTCTGCCTGTGCATTGTCCACAGGGACTGGGAGCAGCCCCAGGCGGGTGGGTGTCAGTGAGGCCCAAGCTGCAGACAGCTTCACTCTGTGCAGCAGAGTGGAGACTGCTTCTTCCTGGCCAGCTGACTCCCACTGCCAGGAGAAGTAGGGCAGGAAGAGCCTTCCTGGAAGTGTCACATGGAGCAGTTCTGTTTAGATCCATGGTGCTCATGTGCGAGGGTGGCCTCCCCCTGGGTCTGTGAGAGTGCTGCCAAAGGAAGTGCATGTGTTTACATTGGCCAGGGCACACAGCAGAGGGGGCTGAGGCTCTCTTTTTTATTTACTGGCAGCTAAAGGACTTATAAATTTATTTCATAAGCTGGAACTAGTTTCTATATATAGTTTTCTTACATAATTATAACTTTTGTGTCACGTGACAATCAGAAGCCAGAAAATACCCATTTTCATTCACTTTCAGTCCACCTGAAAATGACATGCTTTGCTTTTTGTTCTGGCATTACCTCCAGGAAGCTAATGCGTAACTTGGAGATCTTGGGAGCAAAGCAACTGCAGTGGGAAAGTGGCCTCACATGTTGGTGCCATCCACCTCAGGGATGTCCACAAAGTTGAGATGGGATGCAGAGAGTGGAGAAGCAGCTCTGCAGCCGTGGTGAGAAGCAGAGGGGAGCTTAGGCATCCTGTGAGTACAAGGTCAGTGGCATTCTCACCTCCAGGTGTGGCCCACAGCCCTAGGATGGAGGAGCAGCATGTGCTGCCCCAGACCTGCATGCTTGTGTGTGCTGGCAGCAGGAAGTTCTTTTGAGTCCATTCAGGAAGTGTTTTTGCCTCATCGCATCACAGGGCAATGAGTGACCTGTTTCCTTCCATTATCCCTTTGTTCCCAGACACGCTGGCAGGGAGGAGTCCTGTCCTGCTCTGAGATTATGCTCATTCTCTGCAGTCCCAACCCTGAGCCAATCCTGGCTGCAGGGGCTTTTGGTCGGGGCTGGGCCCTGTACAGGCAGAACTACAGGACCTGCCCCCGCTCTACCCACCCTGCCTGCCCTTCATGTTTCCTGTTCCCTGTGGCCTTGCTTCCTATTCCCCTGGCTGTTTGGGGAAGAGGGACATCCTGTAGGTGGAAACAATGGCTTGGTTTCCACCCTCCAGCTGCAGCCTCAGAACCTGGGTTGGGTAGTCTTTCCAGTTAGCCTGGCCTCCTAGAAACTTCCTTCATGAGAAATCAGGGCACAAGACCAGATAGTAGGAGTTTTGGAGGCAGGGGGGAAATCCCACAACACATCCATCATACAGAGAGACTAGACCAGAAAGGGTAAGTCAGTTTATCAAGTTTATCAAATGATGGAAAATTCCAGAAAATCCCTCACTATGCAGAGACAGAAAGCAATGAGAAGTCTCATCCTTCACTCATGCTAAGGCCTTTGCTCTTGGCATGGGCCAAGGCATGGGGGGGCCAAGGCATGGGGTGCCAAGCACTCCTGGCATGTGCTCTCGTTCCACCCATTTTCCTTTAGCAAGCTGCTGGCCAGATGGCAGGTTTAATACCCATCTTCCTGGCCATTCCACCCACTGCCCTCCTTCTGCCAGAGGGTCCAACTCAGCAGGACCCCTGGAGGCCTCTTACTGTCAGACCAGGAGAGTATTCCTCATCCCTAGGACCCCTCAGCCCCGCACCACCACCCCCCTCACAAAGCACTGCCCTCTGGCTGCCCCAGGCCCCGTGCCAGCCCCTTTACCTGCCTACATCCTGGAGGGGATTGTGAAAGCCTAGTGTTGCAGGAAGGCCCTCTCCCCTGCCGCCTCCCTCCACCCCAGTCTGTCCCCTCCCCTGGGCTCTCCTCCTACCAGACATGTTCTCCTCACATTGGCTGGTTTGGCCACCTTCCACTCTCATCACTGGCCTCTCCCACCCCGAAACTCTCCCCCACCATTGCTACAAGACCTACCAGGCTCAGTCTTCCCACCCACACCCCTCAACACAGCCCCTAGAATGCCACTTATCAGGCCAGGCCCTGACCCCCTGGGTCCTTTTCCCATGCCCCCCTTCCCTTGGCAGCAAAGGGCCCTGCTGACCACATTCAGCTCACCTTGGCAAAGCCCTGGGTTCCTCCTGACCCCCGCCCCCTTCCACCCTGCTTTGAGTCTGGCCACCTCCCAGGCGGCTTTCCAACCAGCTTCCAGCTCCAGTGACCAGGAACATAGTCCACAGTTGCGCCCTGACCCCGGGTGCAACATGCCCAGAAGGTGACTCCAGGAGCACACATAGGCCTACCCCTCCTATCACTGTGTGAGAGACTGCCCACTAACCCTCAGGATCCTGGTCAAGGTGGTCTCAAGGTCACTTCTCTGCCTTGCAGTGCACTAGGAGGTGATAGGTCAGACTGGCCCCCAGGTTTAGGCCTCCTTACCCAGCCTTACCAGGAACAGTGACTGAGGGCCTCTGCCTGCCAAGATGGTCCCAATCACAGTCACTTCAGTATTTTCCCTTTAAAAGAATGTTATTAATGATATAAATGTGACTTACACATCCTCTTTCTTTTTCTCTTTGTCTAATTACATTCATGAAGAAGCCGTGAGGTCAGGGCTGGTCTTGCAACCAGGTCAGGGCTGCTCTCCCCATGGCAGCTGATGCACCCTGTTAGAAGTATCGGGGTGGTGAGTTCAGGACCATCAGAGGACAGAGAAGAGGGGGTAAAATGGCTAGCCTTGCTGAAGCAGAGAGGGACCAGTGCTCATCCAAGCCAGCTGTGAACCCTGATTGGCAGTGTGATCCCCACTCCAACTGGCTCATGGACAGCTGCGCCCTCAGTTCGCTCAGAACCTCAGCCCATTCTGCTCATGGCCTCTCCTCCCGTTTGTCTCTCAGCACTTGCTTCCCCACCAAGAGGGAGTTGCTGGACACAGATGTGTTACCAAGCTAGGGTCAGAAAGGAGGCTAGGGGATCAGGACTGCAGTGCCCATGTGAGGCCACTGCCTCATCATGGTCAGGAAGCCCTTTATGTATGATGGGAAGGTGCTAGGGCATTAGTGGGGGCACTGGGCAAATGAAGTCTTTAAGGCATCACAGTGGGCACATAGGCATCCCTTCTCCCAGTAGAGGATAGCTTGGCTAGGGTAGCAAGGTCAGAGTTTCACGATCAAAAGAGCTACCAGAGCAGAACACTGGCAACCCACTTATGGCTCTGTGTTCTGTTCAGGCCTCTTTGCTGGCTTTGGGGTGACCTCAGTTCACCTGCTTCTCACCCTTCCAGAGTCATGAAACAGCCGCCTCCAATGGGGTGAGGCAAGGCCTAATTATCACAGGTGGAATGATTAGCAGCCAGTGGGTGCACATGTGCCTGTTTTCCCTCTGAGGTGTGTGTAGTGGGAGCAGTGTCCTTCGGGAGTCTGCACAATCCCAAATTCTGGATTCTTAGTGGGGGGGGGTGTCTCTGTTCTGCCAGACAGCTCATTGTGTCATATGTCCTCCTGCGTGAAGGCAGAACCACTGCCCACCCAACACACTTGTGGCTCCAGTCATCTTATAGGAAGATACACCCCTGGCCCCAAGGAGACCCTCACCAGTGGGCTTCCTCATGGTTTCCTTTCACTGTCCCCTCATCTATACTGCTTTGGAGCATTTGACAACACCCAGGAGTATCTGGCTCCTAGGCCCCAAGGGACCACCAGGAAAGGGTCTTCTGTAGGAGTGGAACACCACTGCTGGCCTGAGCAGCCACTCTCCTTGCAGACTTAGAAACCACAGAAGTGCTTACCCCAAGTTAGGTAGCTTCCTGCTCTTTTCTGGGTCCTGAGCACATACTTGGGGATCTAAGGTTTCTTCCTAATTTCTAGCCACAAGCCCCTTGAGCATCCCTCCCCAGAGTCATTGCCCAACAGCCCTGAGGCATCTGGCCAGTGTACTCTGTACTTCCGAGTTTGCCAGCTGAGGAGTTCCCAGTCATAGGTGGGGCAGGCAGGCCTGGGGGCAATGGCAGCCTGTAGAACGAGCCCCCACTATACTCCTCTGCCCTTCAGTGCCCATGCTGACACTGTGTCTTCACACTGGCTGGTCTGCAGGATCTGGAGGTCCTGAGCAGCAGGTACACCAGCAGCATGGTGCAGCTCTCCCTCCCTATTGGCCAGGGGCCAGGCAGATGAAAGGGGAGGGACAGGTGCCGAGCACTGATGTCCCTGGCCCAGGAAGTAATGCCAGTCCTAAAATAGTTTCATACTCTCAGACTCTGGCCTAACATCCCACGCTCCAGGGAGCCTGAACATAGGGACTATAATGATAGTGCTTCTGTGTGAAGGTTGTGCCCTGTGGTCTGCAGAGAACTGAGTTTGGTAGCATGAACCAGGATCCAGATGTTAAAAGGAACTCCACATCCCCAAACTTCATGAAGGAAGTGTGTGGGAATTGAGGCTCAGGAGCCAGGCTGCCAGGTGTTCTCCATGCAATCTTTCTGTTTACCAGATGTGTGTCTCTGGGTGAGCAGGTAGATACTATCTCAGATCTAAGTTTCCCCAAGTATAGGAAAATCCTCACATGATTGTTAGGAAGATTAGATACATCAGTTCTTGTAAACCCAGAACAGTGCCCAGCACTTGTTAAGCCTACGCTGGACCTTGATGGTAGCATAACAGAGTCACAGATCTTCAGCACCCCACCCCACCCCGCCACTACCATTAGAGGCAAAGGAAGCTGGTCTGTTTCCTTTCACTCAGAATCTTTTGTTAACTGGCACATGTAAAGAGGAAACTGGAGGGGAGGGTAGAGATGAGAGCACATGAACCCAAGTGACAAGCCACGTGTAAGTTCTGTCTGGGGGAGGTGCGGCATCAGGGCAAGCATAAGAGCAGAGAACCTCAGGACCTTATTCTGGGGACCTAGCTCATCCCACCCACATACACTGTCAGAAGGCAGAGGCGCTGCAGACGTCACAACACGGTGGCCTTCCTCGTGTTTCTCTAGCATTAGCGTAAACATTTGCTTCTCTGGCTTGTGTTCACTGCTTTCCAAGGAATGTGGAACTGGGAAGGAGGATACACTTCATGGGTCTTAGTTCTTTCCTCTTGTAGCTTAAACATTTCGAGGCCTTGTGCCACAGAGTGGGTTGGTAGGTCTATGTGAGCTGCTCGCTCCTTTGGGGGTTCAGGAACACACTGCAGTGGCTCCACTCACCCACCGAGGTTGACAAGGACACAAAACTACATGCAGGATAGCTGTTAGAGCATTTCAAAGTGAGGTACTGCATCTTTACTCCTGTACCTTATTTAAAAAGAGCCCAGATGATATGAACCAGACTGCTAATAGTGAACGTCTGTAAGTGACAGAATGGACAGGGCTGAATTAAGTAGTGGCTCAGGGAGCAGCCCCGGGAGAGGACTGCCTGAGTGATGGAGACGGTGGGAACAAGCACCAGAGCAGGCAAAGCTAGCAGAAGAAAACACAGCAGAGGAATCTTACTGCCGCCAGGTCACTGAGCTAGCATCTCTCTGTACTTCACTTTCTTGCCTCTGTTCACTGGGAATTCTGTCCTCTTGTTCCAGCCCATGTATCCTCTCACTGTTGTCTGTACATGTGTGTGCGGTCCAGGATGCCTGGCCTTGTTTCCCCTGTTCCCTTGAGACCGTGTTCAGCCCACCTTTGGTGTTTCATTTGGGGCACCAGCACCCTTAGGAGCCCCTTCTTGAACAGTTTTCACACACCCTTGGGATCAGACTGGACTTCGACCATGTGAATCTTTCCTACCCGCACAGCCTGGGTGGGGGCTGCCCTGTGCTGTGCCCCCGCAGCCTGAGGATGTTTTCTAGAGTGGACGGGGTAGCAGACCAGGTGGGGTGCCTACATTTGTTCCAGGACTGATGTCTCACCCTTGACGCCTGAGATAAGATTTCTGTGGAGATCAGAAGTCCTGGGCCGTTGTGTCCTGAGTCCTAATTGAAATGGTGGAGACAGTGCTGGCAGCAGTCATCCTCCTTACTGAGGGGCTTGGTGGTTTGCTTCTGTTGGAAAAAGACCTGCTCTCCACGAGATGCTCAACTCCAGGTGAATATTCTAGAATAAAGTGCTTTGAAAATGACTCCTAGGGGTTTTCCCCCCTTTTGTAGTAAAGAGCAGAGTCCTTGGTAACAATTAACATCCAGTTAATTCAGGAAGCCAGACGCTCAGAGAAGGCTGGTGTTGTCATAGGTTTTCAGTGTGAAGAGCTTGGGCACACTGATTCCTATCAGAAAACACAGTGCCTCCCTGGGGTGTGATAAGAAAGCTTCATTATGTAGATGGCTGGCTTTGATTTTTGTAGCCCTTTGCTTTTTATAGTTCTAACTGAAGAACAGCAAGAGTGAACCAGGCAACCTGGCTTCAGTGCATAAACAAAGTGCATGCTCTGCTTGGAAAAGCAGGAGCTTGGTGCTAGCTGGAGCGGGGATACCAAGTGACTGATTCCAACTCCTCTGCCAGGGAGTGAGCAGGGCACTGTGGGGGCCTGAGCTTTGTTTCCCTGGAGGAAGATAGGACACATTCTTTTGTTCATGAAGACTCATTACTGGGACTTCTGTGTTCTCTGACTAACTTGGTTTGAGGCTAATACCCTTTCCCTCATACACCAGACCAAGGGGAAAACAGAAACAAAAAAGACTGCTCAGAAATTCAAGGGCCAGACTGATGGTCCAGATAAAGTCTCCATTTCAGATCCTGAGCAGGCGTGGCACCGCATCTTGGCTCCCAACCACCCCAGCTCTTAACTAGGCGCGGTCTTACCTGCAGGGAAGTGCTCGGAGCCCCAGATCTTATCGCACCCTAGTGGTTATTTTTACTTGTCACATTTGGTCTAATAGCAACATTCACTTGCTTGGTTTGCTCTGGTTCTAATTAAAATGGGGAAACTCCTGGCCATGCTCCCCTTGGCATGTACGGAAGGCCCCCAGGGTGGACTATCAGGGATTGCACAGTACATCTGCCCCATTTCACTGTGTCCTTTTCTCTGCTTTGTTTGTGGAGGCTCCTCCATCAGCTCACAAGGAACTGAATTCTGCTCCTTCAAGCAACGTTTTGGGTTAGCACCTCAAGCTAGGAAATAACTCACAGTTTTACTCTCTAAACTAAGTCCCCCTCTGCTCTTTGATTTGCTGGATAGTGTTTTGGGGTTTTTGGCCTATGAGGCATCTTGGACAACTACAGCCTAAGGCTATGCAGTCAGGCAAGTGGGAAAGTGAACAGCCTGCCTTAGCCTTAGGAGAGTGAGGGAGAAGCCAGCAAAGAGGGGACATAACTAGGTAGCACCTCCCAAAGAAAGTACTCTTCTCTGATTGTCAGATGCATTTCACGTGGAGGGCCCCTAGGTGACCCTCCCTCTCCCCAAAGGCATGGCCTTGATGTGTATAATTCAATGAGTGTGGGTCATTCAAGGCCAGTGACAGTTACTATTTCAGGACTCTCAAGTGACAGTCTAGTGGTTGTGATGGAGGCAGTCTCCCCTGTTAAGTGCCTTCCTCTCCACGCCCCAGGGAGCAGGGTGTCTCTGTCCCTACCTGTAAATCACACAAGCATGTTTCCCCAGCCAGACTCTGAAAGCATGTCACTTATCCATTGTTACATAGATACGATAGGTCTTTACATGAAACCTAACATCTTGTACTCACATTACATACAGCTTAAAAATGGATTACGGATAGTACTCTTGATGTTACTCTTCCCTCTTCATCAACCTGCTATAGTTTTTATGAGTTACAAGAACACCAAGTTAACTGTGCTCTTTCCATTTTGACCTGAGTCTGTGTTCAGGCTCACACCCTGATGTGTGTGGGGGGGGGTGCAGGTGGCTCTAGGCAATGGGTTTGCACTCTATGAACTGGCACAGTAAGCACTCAGCATAT